GCTAAGGCATCTCCGCTAGAAACACAGAACATTGGAAACTGCTTATTAACTCTCCGCCCATTTGTTTCAGTGAGGACAGTTCCCCGCCTGGGGAATGGGGCTTTGCAAAACACATTCACTTCAACAGGCCGCAGCTAAATCCGAGGTGACTTTAATCTTTGTAATTTGCACTCAGGGAGACTTTGCGGGTAATGCCACTGGGTAACATATGGCCAATAGCCACGCGGCTTGAGATTCTAAAATAGAACTTTGTTTTCCGACGGCTTCGGGCCCCCATTGTATTAAGAGTTTGCAAGCGGATCAGGCCGAGCGGGATGCGGCTGCGGGTGGCGTCCGTTGGAATGGTCAACATGCCGAGCTCCGGGGGTGACATCACAAGACACGTGCCGAACCTTTGAGACCAGCGCTGGCTGAGTGACGCAAGGAGAGTGTGGGGAGAAGGAGCCATAGCCTTTTCCTACGGCTTCCGGAATGAAGAATGGGCCTCACCTTATTGGCATGTATTGGTGGAGGCATGGGGAGGGGCCCTAGCCTTTTCCCTCACCTGATTGGCCATTCCCCTTCAGTGCCATGGAGGGATGACTAACTTCTAGCCTGTAGCAAGTTTGTGACTGCCCACCATGGCAACTTCCACTGGACACTCTGGGAATGAACTCAGTCCAGGCTTGGAGCATCCGCTTCATTGCACTAGGCCCTACATCTCTCCCAGACCATGGTACCCTTCCCTCAGGGTACTGCCCCATGGTCAACCTGTGGAACCCCTTGCCAGAGGATATTGGGAACCACAGTCAACTTGTGGAACTCCTTGCCAGAGGATGTTGTGAAGACCAGGATTTTAACAGGGTCCAAAAAAGAACTAGATAAATTCATGGAGGACAGGTCCATCAATACTTATTAGCCAGGCTGGGTTGGAATGGTGTCCCTAGTCTCTGTCAGGGCCTGGGAATGGATGACAGTAGAGGGAATCACTTGATGATTCCGTTTCTGTTCACTCCCTCTGGGGTACCTGGCATTGGCCACTGTGGGCAGACAGGGCACTGGGCCGGCTGGACCTTTGGTCGGGCCCAGGACGGCCGTTCTTCTGCTCTGAGGTCCTCCCTTTGCAGCACACACCAACTACTTATACCCACCTTGCCTCAGTGATTCCCTGCCAACCATCATCTAGCCCCGGCCTCGGGGACCTGCTGCCTTCTCCTGCCCTGACTGCTCCTCTGCAGCTCTAGTACCTCCCCTGTCGCTGGGCCTCATCCTGGGGTTTATTCAGGCCTGAGCGCCCTGCTCCTTCCACCGCTGGAGCAAGAGTGAGCGCTTCCTGGCCAGCCATCTTTTTATACTGCCCTGCTGCACTCTGATTGGCTGCCACAAGCTCTCTGCCAATTGGCAGGCGGCTAACTGCGCCCCCTGCTGGTTATTATCCCCAAAGCACATTGTCCTTTCCCTGGTGCAACGGTACAAAAGCTGGATGCTAAGAAGGGATTGTTCTTTAAGAATGCGCTGACACCTTTAAACAAATAGCATTTAGAGGTGAGTCAAAACCGTGGCCCCGCCATCCCACAGCAGTGTGCTCCAGTAGATACAGCTGCTGGTTTGGGTCTCAAAAGATTTCCGTGGTATTCCCAGCCTTGCCACCGATTCATTATGTGACTTTGGGCAAGTCATTCACCTCTTGTGACTTCTGTGTCTCCTCCCTTCCATTGTTGGTCTTGTCCGTTTAGTTGTAAGCTCTCCAGGGCAGAATGGGGCTCATAGTAAGTGTATATGCAGCACCTAGCACAATGGGTCTCCTGATCGCTGTAATAATAACCAGAATTAGAGACAAAACCCTTGTGTTTAACCAGCTGAACTGAATGAGGCTGGAGTACCTGTGGGGAAAAAATAGTAAAGGCTGAACCTCTCTAGTCCGGCACTCTCGGGATCTGACTGGTTCTGAACCAGAGGATTTTCTGAACCACGGGAGGTCAATATTGTCCAGCAGCATTACCAACACGTCCACTGCTCACTGGGCTCTGAGAAGACATGGAGGGGTAAACTGGAGCTAAATCACAGCACAGAACACTGAGATCCAGGACTGGTGGCTGTAAACAAACTTTATGGGGACCATGAAGGTCTAGATGGGACCAGGGATGGTCTAGACAGTACTGGGCCCTGCCGTGAGGGCAGGGGACTGGACTCGATGACCTCTCGAGGTCCCTTCCAGTGCTAGTATTCTATGATTCTATGAGAAACTTGGCCACGCCCATGAAAAGCTAACTCAAATCATGCCGGACCATGGAGGTTGCCAGACCAGAGAGTGCCGGACTAGAGAGGTTCAACCTGCCTATGACCATGTCACGGATCACTATCTCCAAATGCATACCCATAAGAGGCCAAATTAAGGCTGCACACAACTTTAAATCTGGCATTTCCTAACGTCTGAACACTTGACGTTGCACCTCTAATACCGGTTTTCTAGTGAGATTCTGTGTATGCAAGTTCTTAGGATTGTATAAAAAGCAAACTGAAATTCCAGCATAGAATCCTAGACCTCTAGAATTTGGAAGGGACCTTGAGAGCTCATTGAGTCCAGTCCTCTGCCCTGTGGAATCACATCATCATTCACATGGAGCATCTACACGACAGAGTGGCACTTTTAGGTCCTCTACATCGATATTTGGCAGTTGCGCTAACGTAACGGAATGCAATGGTGATTAGCATCTGCTGTGATTCAGCACTAGAAGGGCATAAGACACATACTTTGCTGGGGGCTTCATAGATATCTGCGCCCTAAACGACACGGAACATACAAGACCTGTTTTCCAACTGGAGTGGGAGTTTCTCTCTTTCTCTCTCTTTCTTTCTCGCTGTGGCAGTGGGGTATGCCCGGGAGCCACAGGGCTGGACTGCAGAATGGATCCATTGTGACAGAAATCAGTCCAGAAAAGTACAATCACCCTTGTCCCTCGGAATGTGTCAGCACGGATCTCTTATCCTGTCCATCTGTACATTAGCCTGCATGATTCAAGCACGCACCTTTCCATCCCAGGAGAAACTAATGGTGTTGCATGTTTGCAGAGTGTCTGCCCTGGAGTGGCTTTTTAGACTCTTTTGCTAGTTGGTGCATAATGCAGACATGCTAACACGGAGATTGGGGATCAGTGCAGGAGAGGACAGAAAAAGCGCTGGGTGATTTGCCTTGACAGAAAGGGGACCTCAGAGTTTCTTGAGGTCTGCAGCAGGAGTGAAAAGAAGTGGGTGCACCAAAAGCTGCCCCAAAACCCAGAACATAAAAACAGACACACTAGGTCAGACCAAAGGTCCATTTAGCCCAGTGTCCTGTCTGCCGACAGTGGCCAATGCCAGGTGCCCCAGAGGGAGAGAACACAATAGGTGATCTTCCCCTGTCACTCACCTCCAGACAAATAGAGGCTGGGGACATCATCTCTACCCATCCTGGCTCATAGCCATTGATGGGCCTGACCGCCATGACTCTATCTAGCTCTTTCTTGAACCCTGTTAAAGTTCTAGCCTTCACCGTATCCTCTGGCAAGGAGTTCCACAGGTTGACTGTGCGCTGAGTGAAGAAAAACTTCCCTTGGTTTGTTTTAAACCTGTCTCCTATTAATTTCATTTGGTTACCCCTAGTTCTTAGGTTAT